TAATCCCAGCACTTGGGAGGCTGAGGCAGGAGGATCGTTGCAAGTTTGAAACAAGCCTGACCTACAAAGTGAGCTCAAGGCCTGCCTGAATTGCAGAGCAAGACCCTGTCTCAAACACACAGACACACACACACACACACACAAAACAACTACTTTCAATAACTGTGCCCATTCTTTAAGGCTAACCTCATAAATCCCACCCAAGATACATCTAAAATTGCCATATTTCCCTTATTCAGACTCAAGCTCTCAATATTCTGTCACAATAGCACTCATTTGCACAGCACTTAGCTGAAGACTGTCCTCTATTCCTGTGAAGTATGGATATTTGCTTCTAGATTCTCAATTCCTGAGGCAGCAAAGACCAGCACATAATTATCTTTGTATCTTTCTGTGTGTTTGTGTGTCTTTTTGAGACAGGGTTTCGCTCTGCAGTTCAGGCTGGCCTTGAGCTCACTCTGTAACCCAGGATGGTCTCGAACTCGCAATGATTCTCCTGCTTCAGCCTCCTGAGTCCTGGGACTACAGGCAGGGGCCACCACACCTGGCTGTGTCTTTACATAATAATTAGGGTATCACCTTTCCCAAAGGAGGGTCTCAATAAATGTTATATTGAATTTAATGAACTTATGGTCCCATGTTTTTCAATTATACAACGCTACCCCTTTAAAGGGGTTAAGATAAAATATAGTATTTGTATTACTTTTGAAAATTTCTTTCCAGCCTAAGCTATGTAACTATGTAATACAGACTTAGGTCTGATGACCAAGCTACCTCACACCCTGCAGGAGCTGTCTGCGAGATGCGCAAGAAGCATGCTGCGCTATAATTCAGTGGATGCGGACACAAATGCCTTCAACAGCTGAAGGAGACAATGACCCAGCTGACAGAAACAGGTCAAGACTGAGAGAAACGACGGCACCGCCCCTTAGTCTGTGATGTGACCAGGACTGGACGGAGGGAGGGGAGCGGAGAAAACAAGCCCCATCCGACAAGAACAGCTATTCCTGGGCTCCGGTGAGCGCTGCCAGGAAGCAATACTGTCTGGCTGCCAGATCTTCCAACTTTTCTAACAGCAAGAAACCATGAGTTTTATGTGAAATCCTGAATTTTAAATGTTGGTAGCGAGCCAGCTCAAAAATATTTTAAGTACTGTGAAAGTCAAACAGAATATATCACGCAAGGTGCTAATTTAATGTTTTTCACCTGCCACCAGGAAAAAGTTCAATGTAAATCAAAACTTTACATGTGAAATTGTATCTTCCTATTGATTTAGACTGTAAATTCTTTTATTAATTTTCAATTTTCCTTGGCTTCTAATACTAGGTTTGAGCTCCAGTGCTTTTAGACTCATTTTCAAGTACCTAATAAGCTGTATGTAATTTGCATGTTATGAAACAATTTTAAAGAAGTCCTCTATTAAGTTATATTAAATTTACACCATCACTCCTGCTAATTTATTACCTGACTTTTTTATGTATTGGATTTTGTTTGGAAAGATGAGTCTAAACATAAAATAGGGAGAGTAACTATCTAACTCCTAAGGTTGACACAAGGGGAAAATGAGGAAACAGCAAAGTTAAGAGCAGCACGTACTCCCAGCCAGGCTGCCTGGGGTTGAATCTCACCTCTTAACAAGCACTTGCTGGCTGGCTATGGGAAATTTGCTAATTTAATGTCTCTGCGCTCAGTGGACGTGAAGAGAGATAACAGTACCTACCTAGTTTATAGGATTATTATAAGGTTTAGGTAATGCTATGGTTAAATAGGAGTCATTTCATCCAAAGGACCACATGCAGAGACTTGGTCCCCAGCATGGTGGTACTGGGAGATGCATGGACCTTTAAGAGATGAGTCCTTCTGGATGTCCTTAGGTCACCGGAAGCAGTTCCTAGAAGCCGGTCTTCTGTCCCTCTCCTTGTTTCCAGGCTTGTGAAGTAAGCACCTTCTTTGACAGATGCTCCCACCATTGCATCCCACTGCCCTCATCAGAGGCCAAATAAATAGGCCTCCAATCTTGAATCAAGCCTCCAAACTGTAAGCTAAATAAACCTTTTCTCTTTATAAGTTAGTTGCCATAGGTATTCTATCACAGTAACATGAAGCTGACAAATACAAAGAGATTCATATATGTACAGTTATTGGAAAAGTAGTGCCTGGCACCCACTGAGTAAATGCTAGCTACAACTCAGTACAACCTATTATTGTTACATTCCATTAGAACTGCATTGGTCACAACAGAGTGGGGGGAGTCAAGGATGAGCTGAATGATTAGGACAGTGAAGTCTGCCCATTCTACGATGTCTCCAGAGTCAGGCCATCCTGCAGGTGAAGTTTCTTCTTATGCAAAGCCTGTGGCACTTGGAGATGCAGCACCCAATTCAGGTGTGCTGCACATGAGCTGAGAGATGGGACAGCTAATGGGTGAAGGAGTAGCTGCATGGACTGAAAGCAGGAACACCTTAGGAGAGGCAGAATGCTTAGTGTTCACAGAATAGGAGTGGAATCCAATTACAGAATACAGCTCCTGGACCACCACTTTCAAATTTATATGATGTTGGGAAAGTTATTTATTCTTTCTAAGACTTTATTTCCAAATTTGCTGAATCTTGGAAGCAGCGCATATGTTCTTTCCCTTTTTTTTTTTTTTGAAGCAGTCTATATATTCATCAACAGGTGAACAGATAAAGAAAATGTGACATTTACACGCAATGGAGTACTAGTCTGACATAAAGAAGGATAAACTGAGTCACCTGTAGGAAAATTGATGCACCTTGAGACCATAATGATAAGTGAAATAAACCAGAAACACAAGCTTAAATATTGCATAGTTTCTTTTATAAGAGAAACCCAAATTATAAATAAATAGCAAAATAAAAATGATAGGAAGGGGGCCAGGGATATAGCTCAGCAGCATGGTGCCTGCCTGGCAAATGTGAGTTTGATTCCCAATATCCCCCCAAAAAAGATGATAAGAAGCAGGAAGATAGATCTTTCTCAAATGAGGAGATCAAGAGATGGAGAAGGGGGCAGGGATATAGCTCAGCAGCACAGCACCTGCCTGGCAAGCGCAAGGTCCTGAGTTTGATTCCTGGTACTGAAAGAGAGAGAGAGAGAGAGAGAGAGAGAGAGAGAGAGAGAGAGAGAGAGAGATGGAGAGGGAGAAGGGGATGAAAAAAGGAATTAAGATACATTATGGAGAGGCTGGGGATTTAGCTCAGCGGCAAAGCGCCTGCCTGGCAAGCGCAAGGTCGTGAGTTTGGTTCCCAGTACCAGAGAAAAACCAAAAAAAAAAAAAAAAAGATACATTATGTACATGTATTAGCTCCGCACAAGGAATGTAACTACTATGTACTACAAATATGTACAAATTTTTTTAAAAAGTATATACCCACAGAGTAGCAGTGAGAATTTAGATAATGCTACATGCAAAGTGCTTAGCCAGGAACTGACCTACAGTATGAGCTCAGGAAGGTTAGTGTAATAGTTTATACACTGTGTCAACTTGAGAAGTTTAGAAGTTTAAGTAACTCAGCACTTCTACCTCCGAGGGTGTATAGGACATGCCTCTGCCTCTCCAGGATGTTGTTCATTGTGTCAGTTTGAGAAGTTAGAAGTTTAAGTGACTCAGCAGGGAGCCAGGGTCTTTCCTTTGTAAACACCTTCAAGGCTATACTTTCTGGCATCATTTCTATAGTATGTAAACATCTTCAGCCTGTGCAAGAGGAGGGCAGGGAGATGGTGTTAAGTGCTACTCCCACCCAAGGGTGGGTAGCCTGGAAGAAAAGAGGCTGGATCTTTCCCTCTTTGCTCTTGTTGCTTTTTGCTGTCTTCTGCTGCTTTGAAGTGTTGTCCCTGTACCATGCTACCCTGCCTCGGAGCCAGCTGATTATGGGTTGAAACCTCCACAGACTGTGAGCTGGGTGCTGGGTATTTTGTCTCAGCCAGGACAGAAAAGTAACTAAGACAGTTCAAGCTTGTGGATTTTAACTGCCCTCTGGAGTCACACACATGAAAGCCTGATATGCTGAGGAAAGTGATTCAAAGTAATATGGTGATACGGTGATATGAATTTTTCCTTGATAAAGAAGCTTAAACATATGACACAGTTGTACAAAGGTAAAACTGCTTTTTTCCTGGTGCTGGGGCTGAACCCAGGGCCTCATGCATGCTAAGCAGGTGCTGTATCACTAAGCCCCAGCCCCAGCCCCTATAATAGGCTAAAAGTTTGCCCCTGAACTCATCACAAAGAGGGAAGTCAAAGAGCGAAAGACATCACGGGAGAAGGCCATTCTCCATGCAGTACCTGCCCTTTATGACTCTTTGGTGACAGCAACACAGGGCTCTGGGTATCATGGGAATAAGTGCTTCGTAGTAATCAAAACCCAGACAGAACAGGCTTCTAAACGCTGACCTTCAATCTCCAGGTACCCTTCCAGACCATCTGACAGACCAGTGCTTTCTGTCTATAAAAATTTTGTTTTAAATAATGCATGTAGAACTGGGTGTGGTGGCGCACGCCTGTAATCCCAGCACTGGGGCGGCTGAGGCAGGAGGATCGTTGTACGTTCAAGACCAGCCTGGGCTACGAAGTGAGCTCAAGACCAGCCCAAACTGCATAGTGAGACCCTGTCTCAAAAAGACTAACTAACTAACTAACTAACTAAATAAATAAATAAATAAATAAGTAGTAAATGAAAGAAAACACATAATAAAGGAACAGGAAAAAGAAAAGAACGTAAGTGAAAAAAAATTTAAAAGGAACCTATCACTTGTAACCACACAGCCTTTGTATGTGTTACACAGACACATCAGGGAAAATGTTTCACCTAATCAGAATCTAAACATGCTCATTGTTAGATATGTGTATATTCTGAGCTTTTAAGTTATACCCATGTGTGGTCTACCATAAACCTAGCATTTTCCACTTCCACTCATTTTTAGCCATCCCTGACGTGGGTAGACCGCGTGGGGCAGAATTTGAGGGGGTATTTGCTTACCTGGGTGTGGACTGGAGGTGATGAGGCTCCATTCATTGATATCCGAATTGTAGCTCTGGACCTTGTCGTAGGTGCAGCTTCCTCTGTAGCCACAGTGGCCGCCGATGACGTAGATAACTTCATGCAAGACACAGGCGGTAGCATTTCCCACACCTGTATGTCAATCAAAATCATATCTTTAGATTGAGTGTTTGTTCTTTTTTTGCAGTGAATAACGAGCTCAGTTTATCAGGGTTTTGTTATTACGGGTGGTAGATGCAAGGCAATGTGCTCGGTGGTACATAGGGAAATAAATGAAAAAGGAAGACTCCATATGTTCTTTAAGAGAGGGTGAGACACACAGTCAGAACACAGTTATAGAAGGGAAGAAGTACCATAAAAAGGAGACAGTGCAAAGGCTCACCGGGCAATGCCAGGAAGCCTATGGGCCAGACCAGGTGGCATATGTGGTCAAGAACCCTGATGCCCAACTAAAAATCTGGACTTCATTCAGCTGAGGTTTTAAGCTTTTTAGAGAGTGTGAGAGGGACTAAAAAAGGAAGATGGAAAGGAGTCGGGAAGATGTAGGTGCTGCCATCTCAAGCGACAAGGGGAGAGGGCCTGATGTAGAAGGGGCCTGGGGTATGGAGGGAAGGCACAGAGCGAAGGACACAGGCCAAACAGGCCTCGATGACCGAATCCAAGACCAGTCGGCCCAATTCTGAGGTCAGGCAATCGGAAGACCTCAGTGCCACGGAACTGTCAGGAGGAAGAGGAAACTGGTTCCGGGGGAGAAGAAAAGACAGAGATAGATGATAAGGTTCAATTTAGTTGAAAATATTGGTTTAGTCTTTCAACCAACTTTTATTTAGCATTGATATGTGCTGGATGCAATTTAATCTCAGGTCATTTACCCTTCAAAATAAAAATAGGTTTATAAGTAGGGTAGTTAGGATGGAAAAAAATACTTCGGAGTTCATAGCCAAATGTTTATTTCTTCTCTGTACATCACATCCCTAAGCCAAAAAAGGAAATGAAATTGGAATTTCACTCTGTACAAATTGAGCTCTCATTATCAGAGGAAGTTGCTAGTTCAACACATGATTGCAAACAAGACAAACTGAGAGAAATGTTATCATTTCTACAGAAAGATGAGTAACTGAAAGTTTGGAATGCTCTGTCCTTCAGAACAGTACTAGTCAAGACTGCACAAAACTGGCTGAGCACTACCCTTCCTTGGGTTAGCTAGATATAATCAAGAATCAAAACTTCAAAAGTTAAGAGAATTCATCTCTGGAGTTTTCAGCCCAGGTGGCAGGTGGAGGAGGATTTGGGGACATGGGGTGGGGTCTCCCATTCCACATGGCTAAAGCAAGAACACATATGGCTTTCTTTCATACTAGATAAACCAGCGCAACATTTTCTTTTCAGCAAGCATCACTTCAAATACAATTTTTAAAAATTTCAGTAAAGTCATAAACCTCCACCCTCAAAGAAATATAGTCTGCACTACTGAACCTGTTATCTCATCATTAAGAAACAGAGGCAGAAACACACTCAGGTTTGCAATAGCCGCTAAAATAGTTGAACTTTCGTTGTTCCTTTTGTAGGAAAAGGAGTCAGGACCACACTGGCAACAGTTAAGTGGTGGTCAAAGTTAGGACACAGCAAAAGAGCAACCATTCAACGACAGGGGGCTTTAGGCTAAGTTCTCCCACCCAATCAACTACTGTTGTACCTGTGGGCATGTGCAGACCTAACATGTACCAAGGACTGTTCCACACTCTCCACAAGCATAGATTCACCTCCCGTGATCCTAAACTATGTCGTGTTTCATCCCCATCATGGAGGCTGCAAAACTGGGGCACGAAGAGACTGAACAATTTTCCCAAGCTCCCCAGGAAGTGGAAGGTGGGGGTCTGGACCCGGCAGTGTGGCTGCAGACCCAGTGTGGCCGCCTGATCACAAGACCATTCAGCTCTCAAGCTTCCTGCTGGTTGTCCAAGGATCACACCAGTTCAGATTTCCAGACCAGGTCAAGTTCCCACACCCTCACCAGCATTAAAAAAAGAAACAGAAAGGCCTGGGAAGAAACATTTAGGACAAAATGACACAAGTTTGGTAACAACCTACCAGCTGTTTTTGGAACTCCCCAGCAGCAATGAATAAATGTAATGAAATCAGATTCCAGTTTAACTTTTTCTCCAGTGGGACGGAAGGAGAACAGGGCTAGTACATGACCAAACACAGCAGAAAACAGCGTTTATCAGAAGATACTGAGACCCAGGAGTGTGCCTGGCTCTGTGGGCCACAGAGGAAGGCTGTGGGATCTGCTCCTCTCCTTTATTCGGAGACAAGCCTATGTCACACAGAGCAGAGGTGTTTTTGTCTCCAGTTCTTGGGACAATTTACTTTTTTATATTCTGTAGGGACCAAACATTCCAAGGTTTTAATGAAGGACCTTTTGAGAGCTCATCAGTGTATTTTGAGAAGAAAAAAAAAAAGTTAAATATTGAAAAGGGTTTAATTTCAAGAACATGTTTTTAAAAACCTAAAACATGAATTAATAAAACTAGCTGGGTTATTCAGCCTCCAATTTAAGTATAAATTCTGAAGACTTGGCTGGGTGTAATGGTGCATGTGTGTAACCCCAGCACTCAGGAGGCAGAGGCAGCAGGATCACTGTGAGTTCCAGAATAGCCTGGGCTACACAGTGAGTTCAAAGCTAGCCTGAACTACACAGTGGGATGGTCTAAAAATTAAAAAAAAAAAAAAAATTCTGAAGACCTGAAGCAAGACCGTTACTTACGGCAAGGTATATACAGAGAAAACAAAATGAATTATCCTGTTTTCTTACATTTCTGTTTCCTGATAGTTCTTTTCTAGCCTGAGTAATATATCTTAATTAAATAATTCTTGACAAGTTAAAAGACTATGCTATTCTGTTTTTACCTGGAACATTCTGTCCAATCCTATTTGTATAACCCACTATAGCTTTGGAGAGTATCCCAAAGTGATATATCCTATTTCAAGTTACTTGCAAGAGAAATGAGAGTGGAGAAGCAAAACTCGCACTTACCTTTGATCATGTTTGCAATAGGAATCCATTTCTCTTTCAGTGGATCATAGAACTCAGCCTCTTCTGCCGGAGCCCCTTTCCTGTAACCACCAAGGGCGTAGACACAGCCACCCAAGGTGACTGCACAGTGGTAATACCTGGCATTGAGCATTGGCAAACCTTCCATCCACTCATCACTTTCACTGTTATAGATCCACACTGTGTCAAGAGCTTCTATGTTATCCGTCCTGTAGCCTCCAGTTACATAAATGTTGGGTCCTAAACATGTAACACCATAGCTCTCTCTGGTGTAATCAGGTATTTCGGCTCCTTGAATCCAAACATTTGTCAAAGGATCCCATATGTGAACCTCTGATAAAGGATGCCAGTAGTAGCCTCCAATGATATACATTGTGGCTGTGGACCTCTGGGAAATCTCTTTATGCACAGGATTCAAGGCATTGTATATTAGAGAGCGTATCTTGTTTTCTGTTAGTAAGCAGCTTCTTTGAAGGCCTAATGCTGTTTTTAAATACATTGGATCTATATCTATGTTGACATAGCTTAGCAGATTGTACAGGCATTCGATTCGATTTTCTACATCATGAGCAGTCCACTTAATCACTGGCTCTATGATAGCTTCTTCTTTCCAAACGCTGAGATTCTTTCTGGACAAGATAAAGAGAAACTTCTCCAGGCTGATTTCCAGAAACTCTTCTTGTTGCCATACTTCCTTAAATCTTGAACACAGAATTCTTCGAGATTCTTTCTCTAGCTCTGGACACACATGAAATTCTGCGAAGGAGTGCATTCCGATACAATTATCAATATCCAGGTGTCTTACCAAGAACTGCTCACACGCCTTCTTTACTGAAAGGAACTGTAGTAGATCCGCTGCTTCAAGCAGGCTTTGAACATTTCTTTTAGTTATTTCAATTTGAGAAGTGTACGCATAATTGACAAGGCCTTCCAGAATATCATGATGGATGCCAGAGAGTTTTATTTTATTTTTAAATTTTTCTTTCATGTCAGCTGTGAACATTGCCTTAAAATAATTGCTGCAAGCAGCTAAAACAGCTCGGTGACAATGAAAGATTATGCCTGAAGGGCACTGAAGGGTAATATCAGTAAATAATCCATCCAAGTAAAATGTTCTGAATGCATCAAGAAAATCCACCGGATGTGCAGAATCTTTGAAAAGATAAATATAATCTTCTTGTCCTTTTAAAGCCATGGCTGCAATAAGCATGAAATAATAAATGTGTTTTCAATTTCGCATATTAATCTCAACTCTATATGTTTCAATCATTGGAATCAGATTAGCAAGGGGTATACTCCAAAGCTGGACTAAGTTCAGCATTCTGGGCAGCAAACGTACAATGTGGATAGGCTCTTTCATAACTGATATAGTGGTCCATTTAAATTCAGGGTAGCTCGGAGGCGGAAATGAGCCCCCCACCCCCGGATTTTTCAGTTGCACGTTTGAGCAGAAATAGGGATCTGCTACCCACTTCGCCCAGTCTGCAATCTGTCCCAGGCTGGCGGTCCCAAACGAGAACCCTTGCTTGGCAAGCCACGAGTCCGAGGCCACCACACCGGCCACCGGACCTCGGACGCCTCGGCTCTGCCCCAAGTGAACCTTTTTCCTTTGCGCCGTCTCCCCTTGAAGTCACATCGGGCTGCCGCGCAGGGGGTCGCGGAAACATAAGTGGGGAGGGAATCTCAGGAGGGAAACGCTGGGCCTCTCGGCTCCGGGAAGCGGAGAAGGCGAGCGCCGACCCTCCCGCGCCCTCCC